GCAAGTCAAACAAGACTTTCTGAAAGCAAACCTCTACAAGCCTCAGCAAGTAAATCACGGCTTGTATTTTAGAATTCTTAAAAGATTCACGCCCCTCTAATTCTTTCTTAAAATTCCCTGGGAGCTTTAGGAGGAAAGGGGCTTTTTATTTAATTTTACTATCAAGTTTATCAATTTTAGACCCAGAAAAAATATTACACAACTGAGTTCAGTGGTCAGAGCTCATGACAAGGTAAAACAGGAACAGAAGGGTAGCATTTTTTGATTTTACAAATCCAACCTTGTAGGAAACAGTTTTCCAACCAGATTACCATTCCAATTATGAAGTTAGATGAAAAAAAAATAGTCACAGAGGAAACATTCACCTGAGTAGTCTTAAAGGTGGTCTTCCTTTCCTTCATTACACAGCAGTTTAAAAAATTTTCAAGAATCAAAGAGAGTTCTATTCAAGGTACACTGTGTGTGGTCATTATTTCAGATATAAAAGTATTACTGCTTACAAATCAGTAATTTTTAAATTTACGTTAAATATTTGGTGTTGTAGCAAACCATGGTTTCCATTCCACTTTTCCATTTGAGCTACCTTAAGTAGCATTAAACTAGAAAAAGTACACCAGAAAGCTGGTACCTTCACAAAAACCTTCCAAGTGCTAATGTAGTCTTCAATACGTTCAAGTTACTGCTACTTCTACAGAAGCCTGAGTGCTCCCAGTAGCTCGTCTAGAGAACCAGAAGTATTTTCCAGGCCACTGTTCTTCCCTTGCCACCCTTACATGGGAGCTCTGCTGCAATATTTATTCCACTCATGATGCTCTTTGCCACATCATACTGCTTAGCGTTGCACAGCTGCAAAAACCACCTGCTACTCCCATGTAGCTATTGTTTTTGCCACCTCCCCCACACCTCATCATTCTTTCTGAAAAGGATTTGCTCAGCCTCCTATAAAGGCCATCCCCTCTGCCTTTTTGCAACACTGCAAATGGGAATCCCAGGTGGCTCCTGCTAATTACCCATGTGCCTTGGGAGTCTAATTCTTCCTATTGTTAATATACCAATCTTTAGCCACAAAGTCACTTCATATGCTAATCAGAGACCAGCTGATCCCAAGCTAATACTTCATGTGCTCAGGAGAACTGATCTGCTGGGGGTATTAATGATAACAGAGCAAGACCAGCTTTGGAAAATAGTTCCCAAAAGATACTGTAATCACTTTCACTTCTAGTCCAACTCCATAATAAAAAATTTGCTTGTGAACCTGGAGCTTGGTCACTGAGGGCAGCCTCTTACAAGAAGAGACTGAAAAAATTAGATTTTCCTTTTACACTGTTAGAATTTAATTTAGTAATTGTTAAGTCTTATCTAATTTTCCATATAAAAGTTTTGGTGTTCATAGGATGCGTGAAACACCAGCTTCAACCTAAAATCAAGATGAGCATTTCTACGAATGGAAATATTCTATGAACGGAATAGCCGAGGCCACAATTCAGTACAGTTGCTGAGAACATAAAGTAATTTATGAAATTTCTACTTTCCACTCACCCTCTGCATTCTGCACAATATGCCATCTCTTCAGCCTGATCTAGTTCACCTGAAAACAACTGCACCAGCACAATGAAAAAAAGCATCATGCTATAGCATCTGGGCACAACAAGATCTGAGAATGTTTTGAACTGATATTGCTACCAGTGAGGAAGTTTATGGTCTGAGCAGATGATACACTCTTCTTGAATGTCCTGAAATACAGAAACGCCATCATTTCAAGTCTGCTAGGACATCAGAATATGAAATGCTCCACAAAATGCACACTATACAAGGATTTTTCATGATGGCTTCTTGCATGTAGGTAGCTCAACATTTCCACTTAGTTAAGAGTGCGTTCCAAGTCACTTTGAAGACACTTACGTGCAACACGGGGAACAGCCCTTTGCGTATATCCCGAACGGCAGAAATCAACACAGTTTCTATAGCCTGTAGTTGTGCCCAATGCAAGTTTTCATTTGAAAAGCAATTTGCTCAATGGCAAAATAGTGATTCAAGCAAAGTTACTTACTCTATCTTCTTACTAGCTGGAAAAATATCTACAAGATGGAAACACACGCCGTTTTAAAAGAGAACCAAGCAAAATTTATGGGGTTTTGTTGTTGCTTTTTCATTGAGTTTTGGGTTTTTTTTTTTGAGGATGTGAACAAGAAGTTCCTTTTTCAATGAGTTTCAAATTGTCTCTTAGGTGGAAAACGTTTCATTTCACTAAATCAAGAGCTAATAGTTTTGCACAGTATTTCCTCTAATGAACTACCAGTTCAATCCTCCCTTATAACATATTCATTTCATGACTGAGTATTCTTCAGATGTAATTTATAGTGCCAATGAAAGACAAATGATCCTGCAGCTGTATAAAAGTTCAAAGAGCTCAAAAAGTAGCAGACACATCCAGCTGTTTGAGCAGCATCATGAGACTGCTACAAATCTGGAATAAAAAAAAAATCCCTTTAAGTACAGTGAAGGTTCTGCCGGAGTAAAACATTCACTTAAGTGGGTGTCATGCAAATAAGACAGATATAACAGGAAACTACAATAAAAACTATTTTACCACTTAAGCATGTTCTAGATAAGAATAACATCGTTTCATGTATTTTATTATTAGCGCTCAAGATCACATACAAGCCCTTCAAGGCCATGACTGTTCAGGTTTCAGAGTATTGTCCCACATACTTTAGTTATAATACTAATACACTTGTCTTACACAAATGCTGAAACAGGCTTTGGCACAATAATGATTTCAGGTGGTCATCGCAGAGCAGTTAAACATGCTGTCTCCCAGCTGACATCAGTGTATCTCTGGAGGTAAGACAGAAAGCAGCAAACACCCCTGGCCTTCCTCTTAAGACAGCTTTGCAGAGAGCACTTTATACATAAAAGGCAGCTGGTTAGGCTTTAACAGACTCTTTTGTAAACAGAACTGATCAACAGATATGCAGTGCTTATTATAGATGGTTATCAACATCATCTTCATTTTCAGAACCAATAAAACGGGACGTTATGCCTATTCTCTGAGCCATTTACCTACCTCAGAAGATAAACAGGATTCACTAATATCTGCTATGGGATTGATAAAAACTTGATGTCAAAAGAATTGAGTATTAGAAAAAAAGAGAAATGGGAATGTCCAGATAATTGCAGCATTTCAGTCTGCATATAGGCTCTTCACTGATCTGAAACTGCAAACAGACAAGTCAATGTGAGGAAAGTGAAGGGAAAAAGACTCTGAAGCAGATATATATTTAGCAGCAGGTTAGATGGAAAGAAAAGGCTCAAGGACAATGGCAGGTCTTTTCTTCCTTCAGCTAAACCCCCAATGTATTTTTGTGAAAGAAAGCTAGTCCTTTGCTTTTAACTGTAGCCCAAAACTGCATTATGTCTCCTGGGTGCTTTGATTTTTTTCTCTTTCTAAATCTCAGCACATAGACAGCTCCAGGGCTCAGTAGGAGAAATTATTAAAAGCATGCCTGCAGAAGTAAAGAGATCAGTCATTTCCCTTATCCCCTGTGTTTCATGAGCACTCCCCCGCCCATGCAGCGTTGTATGAGATTTCATGCAACCAGACATGTCCTTTTTAAATAGACCGAAAAATTTAAAATCCTTTAAGAGCAGGCATAGCATTCCTTCAAATTAGAAAGAAAAACACAGAGATGTGCTTCAATTCTTCAGAAAGGTCACATTCACCTTCAAAATTCTATCAAACTTTTTTTTTCCCTGCACAGTTCTGTTATCTTAAGTAATTTGTAACAGTCTTCACAAAATACACTGGAGTTTCAAATCCCAGTGTGAACACAATGCAAGCAATCTTTGCCTAGTTACTTTTTCCTAGGCTGCTTGAAGTTTCCAAAGTCTAGATGTTTTTCCAACTGTCTTTCCTGTTTCACTACTGCAAATGCATACGTCCCTTCTTTAGAATTATCATTCTCTACATCTTTTCAGCTTACTACAACTTACTCTGTGCTTCTCAGTCCATTTTTCCAACGAGATATACACATATTTTGGATTCAATACGACTTACTGTATCAGAAACATGACATTAGAAAGTTTTAGTGATTATGTTCAGTGCATTTTGACAAAAGCCAATGTGCTGAAACTGTGACACATTGTCATAAAACAGTAAATAGCTTTAAAAATAGGAAAAAACTTTTAAAACAGTTTCTTACTTCCAGTATTTATAGCTATATTTCCAACCTTGTATCTTCAACATTAAAATGTTACTGTGCATTTAACAGTATAGGAAAATGCCCAATAATCTTCATTAGAGCTTGTCAGGAAGCTGGTTTTAACCCCTTACCCCCCCCCAACCTAAAGACAGCAGAAAAAAAATGGAAAATGCTGTCCATTTTCATCACCCTTATCCAAATACTCTGCAGCTGTAAGTAGATATACTCACATTTCAGAGTTCTTTGCTCCAGACTACTGAACTCTCAACATTAAACATTTGATATGCATTTCAAAACTGCTATTTGACACACACTGGAGAACAAACTATATTTTTTCAGAGTCAATATGGAATTGAAGAGACCCCATTTAGAGTGTAGAACATGAAGCAGAAAGACATCACTGTGCTCATTCTGTCTGCTAAAACCAGATTTACTAACAGACTGCTATAGTTTAGGTTACATCTCAACTACAGGATTTCTCTTCATACACCTGCATGGAATCTCTGATGAAGACTGAGTTGAGATAGCATCACTGATTTCTGCTAAAGTCTTTAAATGCCTGTTGTCAAAAAGAAGTTCTGTTCTGTAGCTGTTACACAGATGAAACATGAACAGTACCTGAAGTGACAGAGCAGGTATCCTACTACAGTGAGTAAAATAAACTTATTTTGTTATCCTAACCATTAAGGAAATCCACTATAATTACCTCAGGGTGAAAATATTTATGGAAAAACAACACAGAACTTTGAACACACAAGTGGCTGACAATTGGCTTTGGAACAGATTTCTACAACTTACCTATGGTGCAGTTTGTGGTTATTTTTCTCCGCTTGGGGTTGTGTCGTAGCAATTCTAACTCTCGTTTGGTTGGCTCCCATGTTGAATACTTCTCTCCAATGCCTAAGCAGATGAAAAGAAAGTTTCAAAGAAGTTGTTTAGTGAAAGGATTAAAAACTCTGTTCAAGTAAAAACCTTCAACATGCTGTCCATTAAGTTAGATTCAATCTGTGTAAAACTACAAGGGATTGATTTCTTTTTACACCCCTCCCAACAAATATTGTTCAGAAAGACACCAACCAATCTTCCAAAAAAAAAGAACTAAAGGAAAAAAATAACATTTTTACCTATAAAGAATACCTAGCCCAAATAAATTTTCCACTGTTGGATTATAATCCTCCTTTCAGTCAAAAAGAAATTCCAGCACAAGAATAAATCCACTATTACTCAGAAATGCATTTCTTTGTGCTCAGAGGAGGTCAAATGACAGAACCACCACAGGATTTTAGGAGAAGACACAGGATAACCAAGAAATCTCATCACCGAACTCTGACAACTTATTAAATAAATCAAAACCGACCCAACTTAATGGACAGATACAGGCTTAATCTTTACAGATGAACAGCAGAATTAGTAATTCGATATACTGAACAGTTACTACATATTTTAGGATATACCATTACAGAAAATGACCTCTCCTTATAACCACTGTTGTAGGACTGGATATTAGCAAGTCCTACTACTTGAGATTCACTTTACTGACATAACTAACATTACCTAAAAATGCAATTAGTAGTAGGTTTAAACATAAGTCTCCCCCCACCAACCAACCAAAACTCTCCAAATACTTAACTACCCTTTCTCATGATGTGCAGCTAAAGTCTATCATTATTGTCTTTAAACATCAACACTGTATTTCCAATACATTTATTTTGTTCAAAAGAAAGCGCAGTAGAAATGAGTCAGGTAATTAGTGCAGAGAATAGATCTGAAGTAAGCACAGAGTTGTGTTCACTGTAAATCTAATACAAGAAAAAACACAACAGTGACGACTCATGTGCTGACCAGCTAAGTACTGCTGCAGCATTCTACGTAGCACAGAAATTACTATGCAAGGTCAGTTATAGCGAGTCACAAAAGCATCTTGGTATTAAAAATAAAGAATAAGATGACAAGCAATCTATTCTAAAACTGAGGATTAAAGTCAATTAAGAGTTATTTTTCACAGAATGCATAGAGCAGAAACGGTGCTGTGCTACAGAAAATAAATTATAAATCATACATATGAAAAGAAGGAGAGTAGAAAATATAGCTAGAGGCTTACACATTCTGCATAATATACATTAAATTTTAATAGCTCTTTGATCTTCATTTTCAGAAATAGCTATGCTTGTCAGAAGCTACCCACCCAAAAAATGTTCAATTCATAGTTACTACTGACCCTCCAGCTTCTAATAATAAAAGGTCTCATTTTCAGATTCTTGAGCACTAGAAAATTCTTATTTACATGGATGCACCCATCTCTCACTTTATTTGATTCAACAATAGATTATGCAAGAAGCATAAGAAAGAATACCAGAATCATATAGTCCCTTTCCTTTATCCAAGGTTCAGCATCAAGCTACACACCCAGGAAAACAGAAAAGGAAACTAATTACTGTGTAACAGATTGATGAGATAAAACAGCTGCAATGCTTTGAATACACTATACAGTACACATAGGCAAACGGATGAAGCAACTTTAGAGACGCACATATGGACAGTTCACATATGACAGAACATTGGCTTGCAACAAGTTTTATATTACATGTCTTCGGCAACCCTTTTCATATACTCCCTTAGAAATTTATATGAATTGGTTTGTAAAAAAAGCCCAAATAATTTTCAACACCGTGTTAGTACCAGCTATTGCACTGGCCAGCTTCAAACTTGAGCTCTCATATTTGGGTTCACTGTAGTTTTAAACATGGCCAGACACAGTTAGTATAATCTGACAATGGGATGCAGTCTTATAATAAAAAAAAAAAAAAAAAAAAAACAAAAAACCAAACACAAAAAAACCCACCACAACCTTGGATACGTTTAAATCCTGGTTTAAATCAAATATAACAAAATTCACACCTGGAAACACATGTGCGCTCAACTTTAGGCATGCAATAGTTCCACATATGTCAGCAGGACTATTCATATATATTTATATATATCGATATATAATTATATAGCTTAAACGCTTATAGAGGATGGGGACCAAATCATTTCACAAGAGCAACTCTTCAAGTAAAGTTAAACATGGCAGACTGGATTACTTTGCACAATTCTGGGTGAATCAAATATTGTTCAATTAAAAAGAAATTAAACCAAACAGAAAACCACATACAGTTAATGCCACAACAAACACAGAGCAAAACAGACAGAAAAGTTTCTTACAGAAGCTTTTCACTAGAAAGAGCATATGTTAAGTCAGAGACAGAAATTTAAAAATGTTCTGTTCTGGCTACATAATTTAATAAGAATATTGAGGTTTAATTACTCTTGAAAAATTTGGGAAAAAAAAAAAAAAGACAAAACCATTTATTAGGAATGGTTTGGTGTTTAAAGTTAAAAAAAAAAGTTTAATAACACCCACAAACATACCAAAAACTCCAATATAAACCACCTTAAACAAAGATTTGCAAAACAGGCACAGGTTACCATTTACAGTTAAAGGAAAGTAGCGTTTTAAGAGTGAAAATTCATCATTTTAAAAATGATGCTATAAAATAGCCAGAGATTCAAGTCAGCATGTGAAATCTCCATCCAAAAATTAATTTTATTAGGTCAAATACACAAATTGTCATTTTTCAGATAATTTATCAGGCACATATGGATGAGTGAAGGAAAAGGCGATGAAGGCTCTAGTTTATAAAAGTCACAATTTTGCAAGTAATCATTAATATAAATTATTTACTTTGCTATACTTCAGCAGATCCCCCTTTCTCCCCCTCCCCAAAATCCAAACATTAATTGGAATGAAGGGCTCCATGTATTCTCACCTCCCTTGTTATTAAAGAATATTCAGTACTGGGGGGGTGGGAGGAAAATGGTAGAGTTGCAACTTGTTCAGAGTTATATTATATAACCCTGAACTACAGCTGGACACGTGAACTCATCACACTAAGAGTTAATATTACAAGAGTATGAAATGAGTCTCATGATATTTGGGGGTTTTCTTAAAGTTTTTTCTCCAGGCATCATGTTGTTATGTGAGCATCTATTAAAGTCTATACTAATAACCTTCAAGCACTGTAGATAGAAGTTTGAAAATATACAACACTGACACTTCAATTTTTAAGCCAGTCTCAGTTTTTGCAGACTGGATTCACTTCTTAAGTTGGCAACACTATCTGAGGTAAACTAACTCTGTAGTAGAAATATAAAACCAGGACACTGAGTTTAGGGTTTGTACTAATTTTGAGCTTCAGTCTGGAGGAAGAAGGGTTCCCTCCCCCTTTATAATTGTTCAATTAACATGATTCACTAGGGGAAGGAGAGGATGGATTGAAGCAATGGAGAAAGGAGAAAAGAAACCATAACTCTCCATTATTCTCCCATGTATCTCCCTTTCTCACTGCTGAGATAAATTTGCAGGGAAACACACATGGTTTCATGGTGCAAAGCCACAGAGCATAAGCTCCTATACCATGACTTCAAAGAACAATTTCTATATTGTGTACTGCAGTAATTTAAAGTGTATCGTTGTCTATTCCTTCATTTTGTATCTTCATCAGTCATTACAGATTTGTTCTCTGGGGACACAAGTTGCAATGTGTGCACTCATACGTATGTATTTTTTTAGTATGTCATTCATTAGTCAGTAAAGCAGTAGAGAGAAGGTTTTCTGCCTGGCCATCCCTCTTGGTGCTTCTTCCCTTCATTGCACAACTTTGTGGTCCAAGACGACAAGATGAACAATCCTGTAGCTGTAATTACCCTAGAATATACGCTACAGCAGCCTGATGTCCACTGAGGACAAACTGGCTGCATCTCAGTCCAGAAAACATGAATGTATCATTTGGAAAGGACAACATAATTAAGAAACCAATCTTTGAATTTACATATTCAAAAGTACGGAACTGGGGGATCATCTTCTATAGCATCATGAAGAAGTGTTATGTTGTAGTCCATTAATTTGGTGCCCAAAACAACACAGTTTAGGAAGGTTTGAAGGAGTTCTCAAAGACATGCATAGCCTAAATGAAAGGTTTAAAAACATGCTTCCATTTTGTCTTGCTTTGAAAACCAGCACTTTGTGCTAAAGCATTTTAAGCTGTATTTTCTTGTTCTAGGACTCACTGGCAGTATCACTATCCTCCTTTCCTCTGACTCAACTCCCACAAAATAGAGAATAAGCAGAAAGTAGACTGCGATCTCTAGTAGGAACTAAGTAAAAGCAGCCATACTTCTGATACACCATCAGAAAAAGCTCTAGTTAATACGATGGTAGCTGCTATTTTAAAAATTGAAAATGAGGTTAAGAATGGTTTGAAGACATATCAGCCCTGACTAAGGCTGTCACATTGAAACAGGATGCCATGGATTCAGTAAGAGACATTACTAGACAGAAGTTGTCCGTCTTCAAATACAGACTTTCCCACTTTAAGAAAACATACCCCCTAGAGGCCACTGGAAATGGAGGATGGAAAGCTTTTATAACTGATGCTTAAAAACTACTCAGCTAAAGATAAATGCTACTTCCTTTCCAAAAAAAAAAAAAAAAAAAAAAAAGGATAAAAGGTTTGGTTTGGAGTAGTTCTATCAAGGAAAGGGCATATGAAATCAAGTCTGCTGTAATTATTCAATCATTGGAACATATCCAAACAAGAGGAAAACAATTTGCACGATAAAACTGGCATTCTTAACTGTGAATCATGTCTAAAATGGCAGGATAATCAGCAAAGGGACGCTTGTTAGTGAAGTGCGTCGCCAGCCCACGCCTCTTACCTGTCATTGTACACTGGTAGTGAGAAACCACTGTTGGGGTGAAGGCTAAAAAAGAAAAAATTAGGGAAAGCAAACTGAATAAAACAAATGTGTGTACATATATTTGTGTGTAAATATTTCTACATAGATACTGTGTGTGTACCATGAAAGCACAGGTGTGTAAGCAAGCTGGCACGTTTCTATTAAAAAAAAAAAAAAAAAATAAAAATCACACACAAAGGTGGCATTTCATGTGAGGGGAACAGATTTGTTGCCTGTATCACCTAAATTAGCCCAAAGGAGCAGACTGTTACATTTTCTACCTAATACAGATCTGACTGATATTATGAAAGTTTTGCAGGATTAATGTTAGATATTTTTATATTTTTTGCAATTAAAAATAAAATATTTTTGCTACAATTAGATGTGGCGCACATGTTAAACTAACAGTCTAACTCCTGGAAAGTAACAGCTAGACATCTCTCTCTCCCATGGCCTGCACTACTATCTCTAAAGACCTCTTTCTTCCCCTTACTGTTTTTTGCCATTGACAAATGGTAGGGACAGGTATGATTAAAAACAGAAACAAGAAATTCAGGCAGGAAAACCAAACCTTGTAATTTCCAAGCTTTTCGTTGTTCTTCTTTGGCAATTTGTTCCATGTCTTTGTCGTATATGTAATCTTGACACATAAAGCAGTATATACCCCCATACAAAAGGTCTATGGCTGCAAAACAGAAGGGGAGTTGGGGAGGAGGAAAAAAGATGTGAGTTCATAAACTAGAAGACATTTTTAAGCAGGCTTCCAAGCCAGGCACTGTTTTTTCTCAGCAGTCCACAAAAAGCAAAATCTGTACCTTAGAATCTGGAAGGGGAAAAAAAAAAAAAAAAAAAAAAAAAAGAGAAATTTTTCCAGTACAGTATGTGTTATTCAATTGTTTCTGGCACAGCAAGAAAACTGTGCAAGACAACAAAGCAATAGCTGCCTTGAAGTTGTTTGTAATTCACGATATATGTTTCGAAGACATTAGTAACCAAAAGGTGTAATTACAGTGACTGACTAGAATACATGCAGAACAAGTACTGTAAGATTTGGTATGTAAGTCTGAATTGTCTTCTTCTAAGATTTCAGTAACTTCTATTCAAAGCTATTAAAATAATTAGAAAGCACCTATTTAAAATCCAGATGAAGGCTCAAAAAGAAGACAGCAATGAAAACTCAAAGATACTTGTCCAGGGGAATGGTCTTCCGAGTAGTTTATTCCACAGGTGACGTGTGTCTCAATTTCTTGTTTCATACACCCTTTTAGAATGACCACATGAACACTGACCAATGCTAAAAATATTTTTCTTACACAACCATAAACAAAAGAAAGCCAAGGCATTAAATAAATCAGCTAACTGGGAAATGACATTTTGCTTCAACATATACCAAGGAAGAGTTAAGTGCAAACTAATCACAGCAAATTGCTGATTTTTGGTACATAGAAATGGAAAAAAAACACAATCAAAGCCAAGTAAAAATAAAAACATTCAGTGTGCACTAACAAATTCTTAGCCAGCTACTAAAATACAATCTGCACCTAGCAGACACCTGAAAAACACATCACCATTCTCCCTGAAGAATATATCCTCCATTTATTTTATTTCCAATTACTTTTATTTCCAGATAAATAGCATTATTAAAATAATCTCACTACAGTGGAAATTTGCTTTAAACAAAGGAAACCATTACCACATTAGGTGGCCTGCAAGAAACAGCACTGGATTACTCTGAAGTTATAAATAAGCCAAACCGAGTGCCACGCAGCAGGAATTCCGCTGTCGGTCTCATCAGGCAAACAAAGGTCAAGATCTTTGTACCCCCGTTAGGGGTCCAGTGCTCATGGTGAGGTTTCTTGGTAAGGTTGGTAAGCTTGGCAAGGTTTCTTTCTAACCACGTCTCATCCATCCCTCACAGTCTCTACCCCTCTCCTTTAGTCCAGTGCTCCCTTTTTCCCCTCATCCTCTTTCAAAATCAGTTTTTCAATTATTATGTCAAACAGTTTGTTACTTCTCCTCCTACCTAGTACAGAGAACAATTACTTTGAAGTTTGCATAACATCTACTCGTTCTCATCTTGCTTATGTGCTTCACTCTTTTGTTTTGTCTATTTGGAGCACAGTAAGTTTGTGGAAAAGGTTAAGGACTGCTTGCATTACTTTGTGTAATGTCCAAACACCAGAATTTTCACTCTGGTGCCCGAAGGACTTAATAATCTCCTTTAGCAGTGTATCGCAAAAAGGGTTAAGAATCTTAGCTGCAGTGGTGATCAGTAACAAAACACTATGCACCTGGGGAGGGGGGAAATCACAAGTTACATAGTAGAGCTACATAATATTTACTTGATTATCTATTTCACTATCAGTTATGCACTGTTTTCAACAAAGAATTGTTGAAAATCACAAGTATTGGTCTCAAAACACAAGATCAAGTATTGTTCTCCATGTATTTTTCTAAAGATCTGACAAACAGCCCCCTCCCCTCCAGATAACTGAACCGGGCTGGCAGAATATTGAATAAATAGAACTCTGTGCACACTAATACTTTCCATCTACCATCAGAATGGGTAGCCATACATTGTGCTCAGAGGAATCCTTACTTTTCTCAGCTTTCTGGATTTACATGCATGAGCGATGAAGTACAGATGTCAAGACCAAAACCAACAAGAGACCACCTTACACAAACCACTTGTTCATTGCAGAATGAATTCCTGGTGTAAAGAATCAGTAAGTTTAACAGAAATGCTGGTGGAATAAAAGCTGTAATTGTCCAGCGACTGATTAAGGACTCTTGAGAAAATGTCCTCTCTCCAGCACACTTATGTGAACAATACAGTTGTATATATGCCAACACTTTCAATGTCATTAAAAAGACTGCAACAGGTTTTGGACAAATTAGCTCAAGCATCAGTGACAAGGCGGCCATACAGGCCTGGTTACAGCACAAAGGAAGGGCAGGAGTTTCTCATGAAAGCCAAAACACGGCTGCTCAGTTTCAGGATCCTACAAAAAGAGTTCACTAGTACAGTTTGAAAGTTAATTGTTTAGTATAATTTTTTTTCCCCCCTTGAAATGTACTTTAGCTTCCTTATTCTGGTCATCTTGAGGTGAAAAAGAATGTTTTCTTTAGGGCACAGTGAAAAATATCCACTACCAAGTCACTCTGATGAGCTACTGTGCCCATGGAGCTGGTCTGCAGGGCCTGGCAGGTGCTGGGCAGAGGGTCCCCAATGGAGGAACCACTGAAGGGACTGTGTTACTGACAGAAATTCTTCCAAAGCAAGAAATTCATCAGCATTAACTGAAGTTACACCACATCAAAAAGACAAAGTCCAGACAAAACTTTCTCCCTCAAAAGATTGGGGGGATGTGGGTGGGGAGGGGATGGGACATGGAACACAAATTTCACCTCATTGTTAGCAACAGGCTCGTTTAAACTAAATTGCTGTGAAGCTCGACCCCAAACCCTGGCCAGAAAATTCAGTAAAAAATTCCGTAAAAAAAAGACCTCAACAGTGAAGTATGAGAATGCACATGTAACAAATTTCATCATTTGCATTAATATTTGGGATCACAGAACTAAGAGAAATGGGTCTCAAATTCCTAAAAAGTTTGGGAATTACTAAACTAGAAACAATGCCTGGATGTTTTAAATTAATCCCCTGCAAACTCAGTCATGATGCCCCACATTCCTCACAATGAACATCTCTTTGAGGAGGTTCTGCCAGAATAGCTGCTACTTCTACCTTCCAGTATCTTAATACCCCTCTCAGGAGGGAGTGGGGGGTAAAATCACTGTACTTTAATTCAATTTTATCTTAATACACACAGAGAATTGATTACAGGAAAAATACAATATGCATTCAGAAGAAATATACTTTTTTCTTTCATAGGCAAGAACCAGAAGAAATTTCAAAGAATCATAATGTCATTTTTATTAAATTTGATCAGTCTAGTTTCCTGCTTCAAGAATTCAAAATAACTACTTGTGGATCACAGACAAAGTAATTTAAGAATGAAGAGGCCTCTTGGAATGTAACATTTTCCTTTGCTTTTTATACCTTTAATGCTGACAACGGGCTACCCTTATTTTAAAGTTGGATCTCCTCGTACCCTTTCATACACAAAATTCTAAGCAGCTGCAACACAAGAGAGAAAGTCCAAAGATATCTCATTTTTCATTTAAAAATAAAGCTATCAGCCTGGAGAAACAATGAGGCATCACAGACGATCATGCAGGAATGAGAGAAACTTTATCTGCTGTTGTAAGTGACAGTAAGTTTCAAAAGACAACAGCTCAGGGGTGAGAGTTTAAATTTAAGCAGCAAAAGGTCTTCAGAATCTCCATCTGGGAGCCAAGTAAAGTGTTTTGTTTAAGCCCGAGTGCTTTACTTTGCCAAATATATCCACTGACGTCCTTGTGAAAATGTTAAGAGACCAGAGATGAGGGAACATAACAACAATATATAAAAAAGCAGGGAAGCATGCCACATCCAGAGTGTGCATGTGCACGCACGCACGTCTCATCCAGTTAAGAAACTTGTATGTTCAGTTTTTGAAACACCCAGGTGAACAGAACTAATGTTGCTCAGTTGAAAACGGGATACTTCGCCATAATATATGACAGCCTTCAACATCAGGTATGACATATTTGTGAATCATGTTTTGGTATCATCTTCCTGGAAACACTGGTTGCATTCAAGTATAACAAAACATACAGCAACTCAGTGTTTAGATCAATTTTTACCTGTATTGTAATTAATTCCACTGTGAATTTCTGTGACTCAATCATGGCATGTTAGCAACCTGAAGTCAACACACATTCATCCTCTATGCAAGTCACATTCTGATCAACTTCAGTAACAAAGGAGACTAAGTTGTTAGTTCTTTTAGACAGTATTCCAAATCAATATCCTAAACTAATTTATAATCCCTAATTTCTCACATTATGTGTTAATCATTAAATCAGTTTCAGAAAATAGTCTGAAATTCACAAGAAGTGATTTGCTAAACTTCAGCCCGCTCTCCACTTGTTCTTGCATCTCATATTAGCACAGAACAAGCATCTGATTGTCTTCCTCCTGTTTTCCTGGCACATGAAACCTGCAGCACAGGTGAGAGTTCCTAAACTTTTAAGATATTAAGGTTTACTGATGTGAGTAAGAAAATCCTACTAACCTCAATAAGCAACAAACAAACAAACAAAAAAAAAAAAAAAAACCACCAGACCTCCAAAACACCCAGAACATAAACCACACACACACGCCCCCCCCAAAAAGAGGCCAAAACACACTAACAGACTCATCTGATGCATCAATCAACTTACATATTTGAGTTTTTGCCAGAAACTAGTGAGCAGACACATTAAAAGCAGACACATTCTTTTCCCTTATCCTCTCAGTCTATACCAAGATGATCACAGCCTTATCAGCTTTCCTAGTCACAGACTGAAAAAGTCTGGTCCTGCTAAATGGTGATCCAACCTAGCTTCCACTGAAACCACTGAGAATTACAGGTATGTACTTTCGGGAGAGGGGGAGATGGGGGGTGGGAAACAATAACAAAACCCAAACCCAAGCTTCCTTTTGTTGTCAAAAATGCAGCATCAGATACCCCATCTTTTAATATACATTAAAAATGATGGCCACAGTTAAGCATTACCCTTCCCTCTCCCATTCAACATTTA